CTTTGCTTGAGGCTTCTTTAGATTGAGCTACTGCTCTTGGGCATCCTCCTTTGAATTGTAACATATACCTCAGCTAATTATAATGTGGTATCACTTGATAAAGCCAACTGAGATCATAATGGGAAGACACTGAAACATCTGCCAAGATTTGAAAATTGGATTTTTCTTTTTACTTACGCCAAAGACAGGTTACCTGTAATTAGTTCTAATTTATAAATAAGTGCAGGGTGTACTTTTAAAAGGTACAATATATTGCCTTGCCCCCTTTTTAGAAACAAGCTAGGAACCATACCTCTCAATCAACCCTATATCCTTTAAGTGTTGTCAGGAATAATAGCTTTGCATGCAAAGTGAAGGAGAAGAAAGGGTTTTATACAAGCACCATCTAAATAATCATCATGATACCAATCCAAAGTGAAAAAAGATAATGACTGAAGTCCCCAAAACTACCTAAAMCAAAAGATTTCCAAAGTTATAATGAAAGATGTAATGAAAGCTTYGTTAACTGATCCTCATTATATTATTCCTGATTACAGTCTGGCCGTTCTAGTTGTCTTCTCTGATATGGCTTTAGAAAGCAGAGAAAAATCACCTCCTGATTATCAACACTTGACATTTACCTGCTATCCAGAGCTCCAAGTAGGTGCTAGGGAGAAGCTGTGTAGCCTCTGAGCAGGAAGCACTTCTCATTTTGCAGACACCTTCCTATTCTCCGAAAATCTCTTTTCATTTTCCTGTGCCACCTGATATGCTTCCTAGAACACATCCAGGCTCCTGACTACCAGCAGTGCTTCCCTCAAGATGGACTAGGTTGAACAGGCAGTCAAATATGAAGTGATGACTGCTGCCTCATGTTTGTGACATCCCCTTTGGTCTGTTTTTAGAAGGCTGTTGAAGATAAGCTCTTAGTAGGCTACTTAAAATTTAAAAAAAAAAAAAAAAAGGAAGAGAATAGAGATGCTGAGGAGAACATAGAGCTGAGCAGAGACGCCAAATGTGGTTTCTAGAAGGCCTGTTGCCTTCACAGATTCACTTTGCACTCCAGAAGGTCTGCCTGCAATTTTGCACCAAAAATGGCAAATCAAGAGGGAGCCTGGCTACATGTCCTGTTAATGAGCTGATTTTACATGACAGTAGTGAGGTATTCCAGGACCCTAAGTTTTGCTCACCAGCTAATTTACAAATATCCTTCAGAGTACAACCCTTTGTATAAGGAGCTGAACCAGAAAACAAGCAAATAACTGTGCCAAGGTGAAAAACGTGCCTCCTGGAATTCCTAGTGTCACTAGAAATGAATTGACATGTAGATGTGATTTCATCTCTTTCTTCCTTACTTCTAACAACCRCTTTGTAGTTAAAAAATCATTTTTTGGTCATCCTTTATTGACTACTGGCTTGTGCTGCCTTTCATCCACAAGGAAAGACCAGTGTGAATGGTGGCAAAATAGGCTTTCCCCTGTGCTATTTCTTTTTCTGCTGCAGTGTTTTGACTAGAGCAACCTCTAGACTGAAGCATGCAAGCATGCACTGTACCCTAGCAGGAGGTGGAGAGTGTTGGGTGGGAAAAGAGGAGATAATTCAGTCTCTTTCCTTTTGCCTTCTTACGAGATTAATCGTGGGTGTCAACTGGGAACTTTTGGGTGTCAATCAGAAATCTTTCTTTAGAGTCCAGGTAATGCCAGGTAAATTACAGACCATCTGTTCACCATTTTTGGCTGACTAATATGGTCTGCTTTAAAAACAAACTGCTAATCTTCAAACAAGCTCCCAGACTGTCCAAATATTTGATAAATTTGATAAATGTTTGTCAGGTAGATGCTTTACATCACTACTTCAGAGTCAGTGTGACAGATTTGTAGTGTGCAGAGATGTTCCTGCTCCTTAGAATTGCACAGAGATCATTCAAGATACTTTAGCAAACATCTGCTCAGTATTGCACAAAATGTTTCTCTAATCTAGATGATGTGAAGTTTTGTGCCATGATGAGTGCTCCTCTATGGGATATTTGAAATACTTTAAATAGGCACTCCAAATTTTTATCTGAGTGAGGTACCTTTCTAAGAAAGCTTGATCAGGCTCATCATTTATAGATTTCATTATGTTCAGAAGCCAAGAAATTTGACTTTTGTCAAAGTGGCCCCAAGAAGACCATTCTATTCTATGATTTCATTTAATGAAATAGAGCAGCCATTGACCAAACAATTACCATTAACAAGTGGGACTTACAGAAGGGGACAAAAGAGTTAAAATGGAAATTGCAAATAAGAGTATAGTCTCAGTTATATTCAGTAAGAGAATTTAATGTCKATTCACAAATATTCTATCTTTGGCTCCAAAATACCGATTTCACAGAGTCACAGAATTGTTGAAGTTGGAAGGGACCTTGAGAGATCACCTAGTTCAAATTCCCAACTCAAGCAGTGCTACCTAGTCTTACATTAACTCCTCCAGCTGTTCTGCTCATTTCTTCCCACCTTTGTAATACTCAACTTCACCAAAATTAAGAATGGATCATGATGAAATACCTTTTGAAAGACACTGTGTCAGTAATCTTTGACAAATGCCTCCCTTCTTCCCTTTCCTTTCCTGCTGTTTCTCTATCAGCTCTGCTCACACCATAAGAACCCCTGCACAAAAGCCACCTCAGCCTGGTTTTTGCATAGCATTCACTCATTATTCATTCTCTTCCTCTCAGTCCTTGACATGCTCCATCACGTCTCGCCATGTTCTGACACTCACTTCTACAAAGACACAGCAGATATTTGGAGGCCCTCAAAAGTCCCCCAAGACCAGAGGCTCATTGGCTTCTCCATAGCGTTGCTGTTGTGCAGGGCACCAGCGAGTCAGCTTTCCAGAGCCTGCACGTTCAACCCTCCCTCGGAGCACAACGGGAGTTTCACCGGGATTAACCCAGTCACTTGTTTATTCCCCGGGTTAATTTCACACGCCAAGCACCAAGCTTGTGTTAATTATATGATTTACAGGGCTGTGTTTCTCTTTTCATTGCATCGTAAAAAAAAAAAAAAAAAAAAAAAAAAAGGCTTGAATAAAGATGCTTGTTCTGGTAAATTTTCACTTGTTTGTGAATAGCCTGGAAATAGTTAAAAGCAAGCATGTTCTCTGGGCCAAAAGGGACCGGAAGGTTCAGATTATTGCCTTATTTATTTTATTTTATTCCTAATTAACATTTTATGAGCTCTGAATATGTTTACAGAAGCACATGCAGGAAAGGGCGTATGAACAAATGGAATTAATAGCCATCAACTGCTCCACAGCATACACAGCAGATTAAAATATCATGAATAAGTCTTTTGCCTTTTCTCATTCCCATTGACAATGTGAATTAAAATTCCCCTCAACAGTTTCCCTTTTCCATATAAGTCCAAATGACCAGGAAAAATTGATCTTTTGGTGGGGAAGTCAGCTGGGAGGTATTTCCAGAGTCTGTKGGTGCCCGTTTGGCAGTGGCAGTTCATCACTGGTTTCAAATAGCAGTATAAGAGGGCTGAAGAGTACAATTAAAATTATGTAGAAAAACAAAAGATATTTTGTATAACAGCTCCAGAATTTGATTTCCTGAGTTGAGAGAAAGTGCAAAGATTGTTGAATTCAGATGCCACGCAAAGCCAGCTACAGGAAGGATTTCAACTAGACCTTTCTTCTGAAGACTAGGTTGAGCTAGATCTCCAGAGGTCCCTTTAAACGTTAACCATTCTGCGAGTCTGTGACTAGTCCTATGTTTTATCTGTAGTCTGAGCTCATCCTTGCATGAGAATGATCTGGGGTTTGATTCRGACCTGTGGATAAAATTAGCACTATTCAGAAAAATATTAGCATTTTCAACTAAGCCAGGACAAACGTAAGGAAGCCTCAAAGGTCTGGTTTGGCCTTTTTACAACCTCTGTCACTTAGAGCTGCTGAGGAATTTCTAGCCTTTCTTCTGGGCCCAGGAGAAGCATCTGATTCCTGTACTGCCTGTTGTAGTAGCAGCAATACCGAATCCTTCCTAACAAACCACCTTTTTTTTTTTTTTTTTCTCTTTTTTTTCTCTCTTTTTTTCTTATTTTTTTCTTTTTCCCCAAAGCTTTGTCTGTGGCCTGGATCAGTAAATGCAAGAGCTCTGGGTTCTATCAACCAATTGCACAAGGATAATTTTATTCCCATTTTTCTTAAGTGCTAAGGAAAGGCTAAAGCAGTTTATCAGAGAACTGCAAATACCCAGTCCTCCAAAAAATGTTAATATAATGCCCTTGGGATAAACATTGCTTTACTGATGTGTTTTTAAGTTGTCAATTACTTTCCATCTGAGAAAGTAAAAAGAAAGATATAAGCAAGGAGCAGGGCATGAATATATACATGTTTAATATCAGAAATAATCTGGTTGGCGGGGGGGGTGGAAAATCACACTTTTCTCCCGGAATGCATTGTTAATTGAGAACAGATCAGCACTAGGGAGATGTAGGTGCAGATAAATTAACTTTTGCTGCATAGCTAAGGTGAGATAGAAAGATTTTATACTTGGCTAACATCTTCTAGAGCTCAAGTTATCAGGATAGAAAGGAATATGCATTTCATAACAAATTCTACTAGTTTGCTCTGTGATCTTGAGCAAAAGGCAAACCTAAGCGAGTTATTAATCTATCTTCTGCTGAATTTCAGCCGGATAAAGTTGTGGGAGGAGTCTTATATGCATTTAGATGCATGTTGAAATCATAAGAGTTATAAATCCAAACTGCTTAGGTATTTTCCAAGAAGCTCTGTAAGTACTTATCGGCTTCTTTAATCGTGTAGATGCTTTTCCCTCCTCGTTCCCTTGTGAATCCCAGTTTTAGGGACAGACACTCACCATATTACAAAACATGAATACATTAGTTCCCGCTTGGCACTATTTGTACAGTTTTCTGCCTTCCATCCAAATTCTCACGGTTTTTACGGTCAACATAGCTCTGCCAGAAGCAAGCTGCTGCTACTTAGGATTGCTCTTACCCAAGTTGTCTTTGTTGACTCAGAGGAGCTGATAATTCCGCCTTTTCCAGCACACCACTCTCCTTGCAGTCAGAGCTATCCTACAGGGTAGCAGCAACAGAGRGAAGCTGCAGGAAACAGTCAGCCTTAACAGATGATCAAGGGAGGATATGAGATCCAGACCAACAGTGGACACGTTCAGCAATCCGAAGCATCAGCAAAGTTCAGCCACTGCAACAGTTGTTCCAGCTGAAGAGAGATAAAGATTCCAATCTCTGCCCAGGGGACACCACAAAATTTGCCTTCTGCAGCAGTGCTTGTGCTTGCTGGTAGACCTTGTTGCCTCTTCACCAAGACCATAATCTTGGCGCAACTRTTCATCTACTGACCAACATTCTGCTATTACTGTTATCTAATTATGTAGGGAAACCTGCAAGTCATGTTTGATTCCCAGCCAAGGAGAGGTAAAAAAAAAAAAAAAAAAAATCACTTGAAGCTGCTTTATGTCAAAGAGTGAATTACAGTGTGGCATAAACAAACAGCCCAACACATTATCCTGTTTACACGGGATCAGAGAACACTTGTAACTCTAAGTCCTGAGGGAGGCTTACAGTAATATTGTCCAGACTTCCTTTGCATTAGGTCCAGAATTGCAGGAGAAAGGAAGGGAAACATGATTTTTAAGTGCTTTGTCAGAAAGAAATTGTATAATAGGAAGTGGATGTTCCATTTTACACATTTTTTGCAAATGTGCTGATGTTGATTCTCATTTGTCTTCCTCATTTGAATAAGAAAGTTCAGCACTTTGATGAAGGTATTTGTACCTTCATAGGGATGAAAGAGCTTTTCTAGCTGCCCCAGATTCGTTTGAGTTTTCTTTCTCTCGGATCCTCACTTTCATAGAGAGAATAAGCTCAGCTTTTCATAAAGGAGTAAAATTAGTAACAGCAAGCTTTTACCAGCTGGAAGTGACATATTCTTGCCTTTGGGGTGATATTCTGGAAGCAATTTCTTGTCTTATTAGTCTGTGGCTCTTTTTGGAGACTAGTGGATATTGAAAGCAACATCAAAACCACCAGTCATGAAAGCACCTTCCACCATGACATATTCAAAAACCAGACATGGCAGCTTTCTCCTACCTAGCCCAAGCTTTGGACAAGGTCTCATTAAGAAACTAATCTCAAATTCTGCTCAGATATTGTGGGCAATCAGAGGCAGAACTCAAAAACATGGGCTGCTGATGATGCAGTCCCTAATTTTGCCTAATTTTCACACAACTAAAAAGTAAAATATGCTTGTGCAAGGTTGAAGTCCYGCCTGCTTTCTGCTGACCACTGCATGGAGTGTGGGAGCTCTGGTCTTTTCTCCTGGCTGGATCATCCTGAAGAAAAAATGTTCAGGCRCTGGACTTGTGCCCCACAACTGCTGCAGTGGCGTGTGAATTCTGGAAATTTTGTGGAGATCTGGGTAACTGCACTATTGTGCAGGCAAAACCACTTTTTTTCTTTTGAACGAAAATGTTGCTTGTGGGACCCATATGTGGTTTAGACATTGTGTGCCTCATTGTCCGCACTTGGTCGTATCCCTCCAAGTTCATTATATTTTCTGTCAGTTACTGCAGACTTGGCCTAACTCACTGTAAGACATGACCCATCTGGGCCCTCAAASTACGACTCCCATGATAGGGACTAGTGCACAGCCTCACTGAATTAAATCTTTTGATTTAAAAATGTCACAATCAGAAAATTTAAAAAGAAACTTTTCCAAATCCTTTCTATAGAACTTTCCATCCTGTGAAGAATGTTCATCTTTCATCCTTCACTGGGAGTCGAGAGGTTCAGATAGATCAAAGAACCACTTAAAGACCTGAAAACATCCAGAGACTGGAAAACATCTTAAATAAAATTCATCATAAATTGCTGCAGATAATTCAGCATTTCTGAGAAGTCAGAAGAAAAAGCATTTTCTAGGAGGAAGAAAAAACCCTACTCTTGTGAGAACACTTTCTCTCATTATGTTCTTTTTAACATATTTGTGGAATTTAAGTGTTTGGGATTTTTAAGTGGGATGTTTAGGTGCTGTACCCTGTTCATTTTTTAAAAGTCTAATTCCCCTCTCATGGAAGACACAGCTAGATCTTGGCTACTTGTCTGAAGAGGTAGAAAGATCACCTTAATAATTTTCACTGTGCCAGAAAACAGAGGGAAAAGCAACATATTTGTCCATCTCTCATCAAAAAGGAATTAGCTTTCTCAGCACACCAGGAGCTGTACTACTTTTTGCTCCTTAATCCTAATCTTCTGAAAGTTATGTATCTTTATGCCACAGCTTAGGATAAACTTTGATAAACTTAGATAAACATCTGACACTTTGGCCAACTAAGCAGACTAGCATGATGCAAGAAGAGTTGGTCCAAACGCCTTTTCCCCTAAGTGTGGGGCCTAATGGCAACCAAACTCGGACCTGGGAGCCACAGTCCATCCGCGCTCAACTCCTCCAACAACTCAGATAATTGCAGCCCTTTCAGGATGATGCAGAACTGTTTAATATTTAGACTGAAAGGAGGAATGCAGTCTGRAGAAAAGCTTTTACTCTTGATTTCATTTTCACTCCATGGTTTGATATGCAAACCCTGGCTTGAGAGGGTCTTCATCAAACCGCAAAAAGTTCAAGGAAATATTTGAAATTGAGGATCTCTTGGCTAATGATACTTATTTGTCCCCTTTCTGATCAAGTATAATGACGCTCAAAAGACAAGAGTATATGGGTGGAGAGTTTTAAAGTGGAAWTCATATTTAATGCCCTATCATTGCTTCTTAAGGAAAAAAATAGTCTTAAAGGTTCCCTTCCTTCCCCCATTTTAGTTTATGACAAAAGTGAAATTTTTGCTTTKCTATTTATTGACTTGTTTTAGTGTTCTCAGATGGCAACATTATCAGATTCATCGCTACAGGATAGATCAAAGACAACAGATCAGACTCCTCCCTGGGGTGAAGATAAACTGCTGCACTTGACCTGTGCCTGGAATGTCTAATGGGGTCAAAATGTAGAAAAATAAAAATACTTATCTCCTGCCAACTCTGCATCAGCCTTCTCTGAGATCCTTTAAAGGCTACTGCATAGAACTAGACAGCAGCTTGTACTCCTTTCAGATGCAGCTCATTTCTGCAGCTAAAAACTAGGACAGAGGGAAGTCCATCCTTCTTGTCTCCTTCAGCAGAAGTCCCTTTCTCAAAATGCAGAAACACTCTTAAGTCTTTTCAACATGCTTTTCAACTGTTACTCAGTCAGACTTTTCTTTCTAATTAACAAAACTATCATCTTCTCTCACTCCAATCCACTTTTTTTTTTTTCCCAAAAAGCTTAGATTTTCTTAAAAGACACAGCTCTTTAACATTGCTTTCTTCCTTGGCATTGGAAGCAAAAGGCTGTAGGACTGAACTGGACTGTCCATTTCAGCATCAAAAAAGCAGTGCCTGTTGTTTGAGCAATTTTAAGTCTTTTCAGCCAACTGCATGGGCCTGTGACCAGTAGCATTGTGAAACGCAAGAGGCAGCTAGGTAAGAGCAAACAGTTGAGAGAGCATCACACCTCCCGCATCTCCCAGTGATGGCCTGTTCTTCACTCACAAATATCCTGCTACAGCAACTGCTTCTGGTCATGTGCAAAGTGCCCCTGCCTTTTGTTGTTATTATGAACCCTGGAATCCTGTTAGTTTGTAGTAAATCACTCACAGCAGCCCCCAAAATGAATAATTTGGTCAAGTTATGTGCCAGCTGGTATCCCGYGGAGAGTCTGTCTACAGGCACCTTTGCAGGTTGCCTCTTCTATTTCCTGAGCATGAGAAGCCCTTATTTCAGATCCCGAGCTTATTGCAGCTTCTGGGTGACTGCCATGACCTCATTTATAACGTTGCAGAGCTACATTGATTCATCTCTTCAGGAAATACGCTCTCGCTAGGCTTGTCCAGCAATACACAAACAAGCTGTGAATGGTCCTATCATGGCAGTATGAACACGCTCCAAAATAGAAACAGTCTCTTCTTGGCCTGGCCAGACTTTCTCAAGTGCCTCGAATCTCTTTTGAAGGGGAAAGGTGTTTATCAATAGCTACAGTAATAATAAATGCACAATACTGGAGGTATTTGCTTTGAAAGCAAAGGCCTAAGAGTGTCTGTGTGCAGAGAAAAGAGGTGCCTTACAAATCTACACCATTTTAGCACCAGCTCATCTTACTACCTTCATCCTCAAGCCCTTCCAATTAGGAAGTTTTATCAAGCATAACAGCAGGCAATTTCATTAGGACTGTAACTGGTTTGATGGTAGATCCCCAGGATATATACACAGGCTTCCTAAAAAACAGAACCAATAATAAACTCCTTTCTTATTGCATTTTGAAATCATCTGAACCAAATTTCTTTAAGAGGCAACTACTTGCCACCTTACCAAACCCTGGTCATGAAAGAATATATTGAGCATGCTTCCAAAAACAGGAACCACATGAACTCAAACTCACTGGTAATGACCTCCAGTCATTCTTTCTGGTGTGCAGTTACAGATTCACCTTTGAAATTGCCTTGGAAACAGGAGACCAGAAGGAAAAGGATACCCTACGTGAGTTGTGTGGTTTTATACCTTGTGTAGACACATTATTTAAGCCCATCCTCTCATCAAAACAGATACATGGAATAATACAGTGGGCACCATGAGCAGCACACCCACTGGAACAAATACTTCTGGCAGCAGGCTGTCATAATTTGACTTAAATACTCATAATTTGCTATTTATGTTTTGTTGCATTCTGACAAATCCTTACCTGTCCACCTGCAGGCATGCATTGCCTGAGGTGCTCAGTGAGAGATATCACTACAGGAAAAAWAACAATCTACTAGCAATACTGAATTATCAAGAAACAGGGTTACATTAAAAGAATGAAATATCCTTTCTTCTGCACGCTGCTATCCAGCTTTGTGGTACAGATCCCAAGTCATAACGTCCTTCAGGGCACTGACAGATTAGGATGGGCATGTACAAGAAGATTGCTGATATCATGGAAATGGGAAGTGTGTTCCTGGCACTAGCCCTTGGAGGAGATTTGATTTATTTGGATTCCCTTTGATCTTTTAATTACAGTATGTTTTCATTCTCAAAGCTATGGGTCCAGTTTATCTAGCTATAATTCACGTGTATTATTTTCCTGACTCTTGGCACCTAAGAGGTGCATGTTTGTGCCTCTCCTCTAGGACAAGG